GATACCATAATCGTTGTATCTTGATGTTTTAGTAAAAAAAATGTATTTATTGGTTTTGAAATTCCAGTTTTATACAATTAATTCCAATGTCAAATTCCTATTAATCCAGTAAAGTAAAAAATTAAAATCTTAAAATAGGCATCATGTTATATTTGTGACTTGTACACCATCCACATGGTTTCCACATTTTAACCTACTTTAGTGGGCTAAAATCGATAAAGTACTTCCTTTCAAGTCATGCATGGTAAAAGTTTACTTCTCCTTTGACAATATTATTGCATTTCTGAAAAGTGTTTGCAGAACATGATTAAAAGTAATAAAAAAAAAATTGTGACAAAGATACCAACCCCGGAATACTGAAATAGGTGCCATTGTCCTTGTCTAGCAGGCTGGTAATTCATTTATAACTAATAGGACACTTTTTTCATGCTTTTAGTTCCAGAACACAAAATAAATGTCTAATATAACCTTAAATGATCGTCGAACAACCCAAAATCAATGACTTTGCACATTGGAAATAGTGCTCAATGGAAGGTCTTACATTGAGTTTTATCTTCTTTGCTTTTGATAGCGATGTTAAAGAACAATTGTGTGAAATATTTCATCACCGAAAATTTCTATATACAAGTTGTTTACATTTACCAAATGACAAATTGCACATGGATATTGTTTGGCGATAATTTTAAACTAGTAGACAAAAAGTAGATTTCAAAGATTTATTACAAACGTTTAGATGTGATCGATACTATATTGCAACTTTGTTTACATGAATCGCCTTTTGTAAATGAAGTTGTTATAGTTGGACGACAAATGATTTAATGGCTTCTTAGTTCAAGGTTTTGGTCACATGACAAAAGGTCAGATTTTATCGTGTATGCATTGTTTTGGTTGGGTTGTTTTTATGCCCTACCTACGATAGTAGAGGGGCATTATGTTTTTCGGTCTGTGCGTCCGTTCGTTTGTCCTTTCGTCTGTCAGGTTAAAGTTTTTGGTCAAGGTAGTTTTTGATGAAGTTGAGGTCCAATCAACTTGAAACTTAGTACACATGTTCCCTATGATATGATCTTTCTAATTGTAATGCCAAATTAGAGTTTGACCCCAATTTCACGGTCCACTGAACATAGAAAATGATAGTGTGAGTGGGGCATCCATGTACTATGGACACATTCTTGTTTTTACATTTAACGTCTTTATTTTTACTTTTATAGGTTAAATGTTTTATTTTTGTTATTGTTGAAAAAATAATAAATTCTAATTCTTAAATTTTCTCACGTACAACACTCGTGCCAAACAAAAAACCTACTTTGCATATATATTCGAAAACAGCTATAAATATTTTACATACGGGTCATTGAAAATTTTATTTATAGATCAATAACATTCTAATTTTATAATTTCTTTTGTCATGGAGAGAAATAAAAGCACCGGTAAATAACACATAAAAACAGACCGAATGTTGTTTATAATCTTTAATGAAAGAATTAAAACAATATTATATGAGACAAATATATTTTATTGAATTTAACAAGATATATATGTCTTTGATTTTACACTGTGACACTGACATATCAAGCATAGCTCTCCATCCTTTTTCGGGGGTTTCCTGTTCTTCAGATCGTGTTTGAGTCCATAATTTCAGATTTTGGATATCAACTGCATACAGTTTTCTTGATCTAAAAATTGGCAATGTTAGTAACCGAAATCCACTCTACTGCTGCCAAGAAAGAATTGTTACCCCTCAAAACTTTATGAATAGGAATTGAAGTGAAGTTTTTTTCTTCAAAATTCGGTTTGGTCAAAGCAATTACGTATATTGTTAGTTCTGTAACATCCTTGGCCAAAGTTAAAAATATTTGGCTATAGTTCAACAACAGTGTCAGTGGACTTGTTAGTTGTTTTTTTATTGTTCATAGAAAGGAAGAAAAGCATAAATTTTGTACTGTAGAACTTACGTCAACCAAACACTGTGTTCTCCCCAGGCCAATATAATATTGGAGATTGGTCCTTAGAACTATCAGTCTTAGGACTGACCTTTATTTCTGGCCCATGGTTCTATAATTTTCAGTCAAAAAATCGAAAATCTTTAAAATTTTACATGACTTATCCGTGTAGTTTAAAATTCAAGGTGAAATTTAACCAACACCTTGATTGTAATTGATTTACCTGATGAAGTAGGTATGATGAGTCTAAGTTGTAAGCTTGTAACAGACCAACCCAAACATCGTCGGACCGCAGGTCATGACCTGTAAAAAACTTGAAGGTCCGCCACCATCCTGTGAACTACAGGACCTCCTGTCCTGTACATTTTTTGCAGAATGCAGTATTAAAATTGGGAAAAATGTGCTGCTATATCAAACACAAAATATTGTTTTCCCCCCGAGATCAATGAAAAACAATTGTCCTTATATTAATTAGGATCGCGGAAATACCCTAGTCATATTTATAGAGATATATGGGCAACACAAATAGTAACCCAATCAGAATGCAATAATATAAAAAAGCAGCCAATGAAATCACGCTGCCATTGCCAAGCAGCGAGATTTTCTTGTCAACTATTTTATGCATTCCCTGAAAATCGGCATTTCTAATGTGACTTCTTTTTTTTTTAAACACATTATAAGACGATTTTAAGGCTCACTGGCTTGTCCCCTACTGCTAAAACCCTTTCAATTTGAAGATTTTGTATCTCGATTGTCATGTCCGCTGCGTCAGTTTCCTGCATTTCTTTTTTCCCCGGTTCATTACGCATGCGCCGGAAACACATGTTGTAAACAATAACATGAGTTTCCTCTGTTTTTATGATGGGGCCACATGGGTTTGTTACAATTTGCCGAGTTTACTATCCATACGGACCCCAACAAAACCACGTGGTTTTTTAGGGGTTCGTATGGATAGTGGTTTTTTCGGGGTTCGTATGGATAGTAAACCCGGCAAATTGTAACAAACCCCTGTGATGGGGCCGTGCCTGGTCAAAAACGGAAGGCCGATGATGAAAGTACAGGATGAATCCATGAACTCAAATAAAATACTAGATTATGCCAAAGAGGAATAAATTAAGATAAAGTCTTAAAAATGAAGTTTTATTCAATGTGATTAAACATGCAAAAGAAAAGTGTAGTACGAGATAGTAGTTTTGGTTACTTCATTTATCATAGTCAAAGCACTCAGAATGCAGGATTTTGCATCTAATTTTTCAAAAATTTTATGGGGGGGGGGGGGATGCCCCTATACCCCCTAGCAAGTTTCACAGGTGATAATAAGTAGGTCCTGTAACAGCAATGAAGGTCCAGTAAAAAATATTTGTTACTGGACCTCCTGACCTGTTAAAACAATTTAATTTTGGCTGGGTCTAAATGTAAACTAGTTCATTAAAACATTTATTCAGCGTGTTGGTCATGAGCAAAGCAAGGTTCATAATCATGAACATAATATTTGCCTTCTATATAATATTTCGTGTAAAAAATGCATCCTAAGATGATCTTTAATTGAAGCTTCCCATTTTATTATAAGCTTTGATAGATAACTAAACCAACTCTTCCTCAATTTTCATCACTACTTTTTACCTTGGTTTTCTATTAAATGTCCACAGCACACGCAGTGCTTTGATTTTTAAAAGAGTTATGCCTTTTGGAAACATTATTTATATGGAAAATTGCATTGTTAGCGCTCTCATTTGTACAATTCTTGCCAGATTTTAATGAAACTTATGTCATAGGTTTATATCAGCAATATCTTGGATGAGTTCAAAAATCAGTGCCGATCAATTATTTTTAAAAGAGTTATGCCCTTGGAAACGTTAATTATATGAAAAATTGCAATTGTTACTGCTCTCATGTGTACAATTCTTGCCAGGATTTTATGAAACTTATATCATTGGTTTATATCAGCAATATCTTTGACAAGTTCGAAAATCTGTGCCGGTCAATTATTTTTAAAAGAGTTATGCCCCATGGAAATATTAATTATAATGGAAATCGCATTACATTTGCTCTGAAGCCTTCATTTCTCTTAGATATTTATAAAAAGTTTTAAACGAACAAAAAAAATAATGTTTTTTTAGTTGTTGCCCTTGTACGTTGGATAGATAAAATATGTGCAGGGCGAGGGACTTTGGAACTCTGTTCTTTTATAAATTTACAATTGAATACATATTATTTCCCTTGTTGGGAAGTATACTTGTATAAATACTGGTTAGCTGCAGTGCAGAGCAATGGTGAAAAGGAAGATATAAAACAATGTGTTACTTTAATTTATAATAATTTCCAGCTTTGTAAACGATTTTGATTACAAGAATATTGGATAGCAATAGACTTTAATAATTTATATATTTATATAGACAAATTGATATCTTTAAATCAACAGGGATTAAAAACCATCAATTGTTGACTCTTCATTCATCTTTGTTGTAGCAAAGCATTTCTACTTTTTGACAAAGGGATGACAAAAGAAATGAGTTTTCTGGCCCCTGAAATTGAAAAAATAATGATATTCTTCAATACATTAAAGCATGTCATAATGTAACTTTCTTCTGACAAATGATAAGGATGAACAAATATGGACACTTTAGTACAGAAAGGTCAGCTTTGCATGTCACTATGTGCACAGTTTATGCACAGTATTTTTTTTTCCACTAACATTCCATAGGTATTGACATTGATGCAATGGATGTCCATTATAAGATGTTTTCTATCCAATATCAATGTCATTTACCTGAGAGCAATTAGAATTATACTTGTATCTTTTCAAGCTCATTTGTATCCTATTTCTATCAAACAAAATACCATGTCATTAGTATTCCAGTAGAAGTGGAAAATATCAAAATATAAGTATAGCTATTACTTCAATGTCATATTTAAAGGTCATTTGATTGCCTTATTGAAAAATTGAAAAATAGCCTTTCATTTAAATTTAATGTGCACTTGAAAGGTGTGCTTATTAAAAGTCAAATCATTTTAACCACAAAATTGATGATAAATGAGAAAATTACGTTTCTGTTTCAGATGCGCTGGCTCCTGACAGATATCATTGTTTACATGCTGCTGGTGTTCACACTGTCGCTCTGCCGTGGATAGAAGAATACTATCAACAATATTTCCTTTCTGAAGGTATTTTAAGGTCAATTGAATAGAGAATGGAAACGGGGGATGTGTCAAAAAGACAACAACCCGACCAAAGAGTAGAAAATAGCCCAAGGCCACCAATGTATAAAATTCACTTTAAAAAAAAAATTTATTTATCCCTTATTGTTCTCGTTTATAGTTAGGTAGCAAAACAAAGTAGATATTGAGTTTGAATTGAAATTTATGTTTCATCTATTTGTATCATTTCTAAAAGAAGGTATATATAAAGCATTGATTTTGATTTGCCCATGAAGTTGGATATTTTGCATTTAAATCTGTGTCTGAATTTTGCATATCATTATCACAATTTTCATGAACAACTTAGGTTCAATGTTGTGTCAACATTACTATACTTTTAGTAACAGTTGGGTCACATTGACCTACATTTCACACTTTCCTATCTTGAGTTACCTTTTAAGTTCATTATATTGTATTTGTCCCTCTATATATTTTACAGAAGGGACTAAGTTGACCTACACAAAGCCTGAGATTTGTTGTCAATTTGTTTTTGAATACTTAAGATTATATCATGATAATAAATATGCACTGTGGTATTCCAAATCAGAATTCCTTCAAAGTATGCCGTAGGGGGGTACGCAGATTTTTTAAAACTTGAATGAATATATTAAATTTTAAGCAGATGTTATATAATATTTCATTGTAGAGGATGCTGATGTTCCTGAGAATTTAGAATGTACTGTAGAACATCTAGTGTGTACAAAGCCTCTCCCATCTAGGTTTGTTAATTGTCTATATCATATATATGATACATGACTTTTCAATATGAAATATATGATCTTGGCTTCATTAAATGTTCATGAGATTTTGTAGTTTCAACAAATTGTACAAACAAGCCTAAGTGAAGTTTGTATTATATTGAACACTTAAATCAATTATTAAGCTATACCCACAATTCCACAAAATAAGTTCCCAACAAGTAATAAAGAATCGTTTGAACGTTGCTTTGTAGTCCATACAAACATCGATCCCATACCTAAACAGAATAAAAAGAGATGTGAGAGTTTTATAAATAAGACAACAACCAAATAAAATACTGAAAAATATGTCAAAGGAAACGTTTTTATGCCCACTTGTTATAGCAGTTGGGGCCCTGAAAAGTCTGTCTCCACATACACTCTTTCAACAACAGTATAAGATTCTGTTTCAGGCTTATAGTAGTGTGAAATGAAATTGTAACATCACCACAAAACATCAAGATATCAAAAATATAATTTGGTAAACAATTCTGTGACCTTGATATCTTGCTTCAGTGATCATGTATAAGGCCAAATAAAAGTATATGTGATGTTCCAGTTACCCGACCGATCCTAGTTTGAACCCCCTGACCCTAGAACTTTTTTTTCCATCTCTGAAAAAATAATTTTCAAATGATCCCATTTTGTGGAATATGAATTTCAATAATTAAATTCACAGACGTCTGTCATCTGAATTTCCATTAGAATTATCCACTACGGCTAAAATGCAACAAATTCTTAACAGAATGCACCAAAATTAACTAAAAACGTAACATATCTGTTTATTTTACAACCAAACATCTAGAAAATGGCAAACTTCCGGTAGGGACATGTATAATACCGGAATCCGACTCTGTGAACACACAAGTTTTTTCAGGATTTTGACAATCCTTCCCCCCCCCAAAAAAAAATTGCCGACCTACCGACCCTAACTGGATCCACACATATACTTTTATTTTGCCTAAGGTTTAAGGTAATTTAATGAGATGACAACTTTAATTTTAACACAAGATACAACAGAATGACCTATTCTAAAATTGAGTCATAAAGATGGTATGACCTGGATTTCATGCTTCAGTAATTATTTTTGAAGTATGAATAGAAAGAGATGAAGAAGATGTGGCATCTCTGATACTTTCTCAAAGAATATGTCAGCATACTAGGTGCCAATGATACAGGTCAAAGTCATGATTAGATTTTAATTTCATGTCTCTGTAATCAAAATTATTCATGCTTTTGATGTACAAAGATGTGTGATAGGGCAGCATGTCTTTTAGATGCATGATTTTGGTATTAATGCATATGAAAGAAAAAGATATGGAATGTGGGGAATAAATCAATGACACAGCTATTCAACAACACAAGATTTGTTATTTCCATGTTTTACCATAGATCTGTTACCATGAATAATAATAATTTGAATTGGATATTTTGGAGACTGATAATTTGCATTTTTTTTTATTGCAGTCCCCCAGCACCAGTTATTGGATTAGCTGTTGTAAAGGAGTGGCAGACAGGATCAGCTCTGTTAACACTGACCAGTGATATAGAGTTTATCTCACTTCCACTTAGGTAAGGTCACCCTATGGAACCACAAAGTATAGATTTATTTCCCAGTTTCTCTGTCTTAATGATATGACTCCTCTGGCAAGGGTTTTCCATTTGGTAGTGAATGATGTTATAGTACACAGTTACATCCCATTCAAATGGGTATGTTAAATCTGTTGATTAATTTAGAGATTTAATATTTGCATGTTTAATTGCCCTTAAAACAACTCTTGAGGGTTTAATAGATGGCCTGTTGCAAGGTATATTTTTATATTTTATTCAAAATAACCTCATTTTCTAGTGGATGTAAAAAAATATTAGGAGTTAATTAATCTTTTCAATTCCCTCTTTATGGATATAAACAAAGAAACTTGAAATTATATCTCCATTTGGAAAAGGATAACCTGTCATTGTATGATTGTAAAATATCTAAAAATTGCCATGTTTTTATTATTGCAAAAAATGTGTCAGGATAGTTCTTGCAAAAATAGAATTATTGGTAGTTTTGATAGTGGTATTTTCTATGCACCATTTCCTGAAATTGAAATGATTAATTTTGCATTGTTTGTCCATTGTTAAAAAATGGCAATGATGAATGCATGCTGAGGTTTCTGAATCTACAGTTAATGATATTCTATTCACAGGTCCAGAATAGTAACATATACCACATCTAGTTTGCAAACACCAACAGGGACAATCAGATCACCATTACGTAAATTACCCAGAGAGCCATTTGATCAATATATAGCCAAAGTGTTACAAAAGAATTTCACTAATCCTTTGTTAAAGTAAGTTGTCACAACATTTTGTTACCTTTCATAAATTAGTTAATATAAAAATAAGAAGATATGGTATGTTTGCTAATGACACAACTGTTCACCAGAGACCAAATGACGTAGAAAGTAAGTAATCATAGTTCACTGTACGGCCTTCAACAATGAGCAAAAACAACACTGCATAGGAAGCTATAAAAGGCATCAAAATGACAAATGTAAAACAATTCAAACGACAAAAACAAACTACCTGATTCATGTACACAACAATAAACGAATATGATTTACAGCAACAAACATCAACCATTGAATTACAGGCTCCTGACTTGGGGACAGGCACACACAGAGAGTGGCGTTGTTAAACATGTTTGTGGGTGCCAAATCCTCCCTTATAAACCTGGGACAGTGGTGTAACAGCACAACACAAGAACAAACTAGAAAAATCAGTTGCAAAGGGCTCAACTCATCATATAGATACAAAGCAAAAACAACTAACAAAAGACACAAAGTGAAGATCTGAGAGTTCTCACAGTTACTGAAAGTTAGTTAAAAGCCAATAACAACTAATAAAAAGATCATGTATCTAAGACTTAAATATCTATCAGTACACATCCAATATCCAATTGATTTATTGTAAAAATGTCATTAACAGTCAGAGAAATCTATGACCTTGTACAATGTCATAATACAAGTATTGACAGATTGTAGGACAGAAAACCTGCAAAAAAAAATTGGTAAAATTTATAAATTGAGTCATTACACAGGAGCTTCACATTTTAAATGTTTCAAAAAAGGATACCTTAAACTTGCATCATTTTTTAGTCCTGAAAAATATAGGTAAATAGATACATCTAATTTTCTACATAAATGCAATCAACATGAAAAATAGAACTATACAATTCTGGTCTATTATAGAGATGAATTTTAATGATATTTTATTCTAGATCAGGCAAAAAAACTGAGATGACACAACAGGAATGTTATCAGCTGTTGAGTCGTACAACACAGGTGTTTAGAGAGGAATATCTACAGAAACAAGATCTAGCTCAACAAGCTATACAGAAAAGGTAGGGTCCCATATCATGACCCTGTAGAAACACAGGTGTTTAGAGATGAATAACTTTATTATAGCTATTTACATCATCTTACCAAATATGGAGTTGTTTCTCTGCTGACCTCATACTTTTCCAATCCAAAATATACTTTAAAATTTATTTCAACCAGGAAAATCAAGATAATTTACGAAATATACAAATTTTCCCATGGTCTGTTGTTTTGGTAACTGGTCAAATGTAAAATTTGTTTTTCTTTTCTTAGCAACTTTTAACTTAGTATTGATAGGGCAAATTTAAGATCATGTATTGGAAGTTGGGAACTTATTAATTTGCATTAATCTTTGGGCAAAAGAAGAATCCTATTGCCCTCTCTCCTTTATCCATTGATGTCTACGTGTACAGAAAATGTATTAAGAATTTTAAGATTATTTTACAATTAATGCTTTTATGAATAATGGATATTTTGAGATTATATCTATACAGGTTTATTTTAAAAATTGACAGTCAATATAGTTATGATAATAATGGTGTGTATTGTATTGACTGTGACATAGTAGCCTTGTTTGAGGGCATATTGCAGTCCCTTCTGGTCATGTATTAAGTAACTTCAATCATGGCTAGTATTTTTGCAAAAGCAATGCAAAACACTGCATTAATAAAAAATATTTTCAAGTAGTATGTCCTGTCTGCGATCTTAAAAGATATTCGGCAGTAGGATCAAAGTGAAAATGTACAAATTATCAGTAATAGAAATACGTCGAATTTGATTTGCATTTTGATATAACTTGAATAACTTTATCGATAATTATAAAAATACCAGCATTGGTTTTTTTTTTCTAGTGTCTATAATTCTTTATATTTGTATAATGTTTTATAATTGTGTTAAATTTTGTATCTCAAATATATAAGAACAAAAATATGAAAATTAGAAATTAACTTGCAATACATTTGAATGTTTAAAAAATAATTCCAGAGCTGATTTGATTGACCTTTAAATGGTGATATAAAGTCATATAAAAGTTTATCATAAGAAGTAATTCTAGTTCCCATGAAATATCTTGACCGATCAGTTATAGGAATGCAGTCTTAACGACAGATTTAACACCTTATCAATAGTATTGGTTGACAATATTGGATATAAACGGACACTTACTGTCAATTAATCAATCATAAACTGACCATTATGGCCTGATTGCACCCACAGTTGTAACAAAAATAGGACAGTGTCCACGTCTGTGGCCAGAAGACTCTTTACAATAACATTAATGTCTGTTTGTTACATTTTGGAAAATCATTAAGTTACATTGTTACTTATCCGATATATATAAACAAACAAATCTCCACTTTAGATCTATTTATCTGACATGTCTGAATTGTTTGCACACTCAAAATATATATATATACTATTCTATAAAATTGCATAGAGTGTATATACATGCATGTTCAGAAAAAATACAGCTTATATAACATTCAAAAAGGAGCTTTTTTTTAAGATTTGCAAAAGCAAGAAGAAATATATATATAAAGATAAGGAAATGTCTAATGATTGCCAATAAAGACAACTATCCAACAGAGACCAAATGACATAGATTTAAGCAACTACAGGTCAATGTACAACCCTTTACAATGAGCAAAAACATACCATATAAATCAGCTGTAAAAAGCACTGACATGACAAAATATGAAACAATTCAAACAAAGAAAACCGATGATTGTTCAGGGTCAAAGTTTGAAAGAGAATGAAAATAGGAATAATTTAATTTTACTTCTGACTAATAGGACTTTGAAAAAAATTAATGCTAATTAAAAGAAAATATGTTAATAGTGTTTTTTTAATCTCTCGCCTCTTTTGACACATAGATTATGATGATGTTCATCATTGTATTATATTATGCAATAATGTGAACCTGATTTAACTAGTCTCCTCCTCCTAGAAATCTCAGACTGTTTTATGAGGGTGAAAAATAACATGACAATCATTCCAATAAATGACCAAAGTTTGATTGACAGGTGTTAGGGGAGGGGCCATCTTTAATTTGACATGTTAAATTCTATAGATGTACTTAATTGATTTGGAATAAATTAATTGGTCAATGACCAAAGTTTGATTGACAGGTGTTAGGGGAGGGGCCATGTATAATTGACATGTCATATTCTATACATGTACTTTATTGATTTGGACAGTTGTTTAATTGATTCATAGGGTTAAGGGAGGGGCCATGTATAAGTGACATGTTATATTCTATACATGTATTTAATTGATTTGGACGGCTGTTTAATTGATTCATAGGGTTATTAAGTATTATTAATTCATGGAATGTATATGTAGTATGATTTGTGTCCTTAGATGGAAGGTTGGTAAAGTAATAAGATATTTTAGGTTGACTGTGACAAGTTGTGTGGTCATGCAATAACATGTTTCAAGAAATACATGTAAGAGTTCTTTTATATAGCAAACCTGCCAATTTTAAGAAGTTAAGTTAGACAAACAAATGTGTGCGTGTAATACATTTCAAAAAGAAGAAATGCCAGTGATATCAGTAATCTTTTCATTACAAAAACAATTTGAACAAAAAAGGAAAAACATTACAAAAAAAACTTTTTACAAGTGGGAATATTATAAACCAGGAGCATGGGCAGTGAGCATCATAAATGAAGCTATCTCACACAGCAATTGTTTACAGAAGGAAATAGGAAAATTATATTAAATTTTATATTTGATGCCTTTGAAAATATGATTATCTAACAAATGAAACATATTTTTAGGTTATTTTGGTTTTTCACATCATCAAAGCTTGACAGGGCTTGTTTTTTGAACTTTCTCATAGATTATTTTTGTCCTAGTTGTAGGACCATGGACAATTTTTCCTTGGAAATCCACAATAAAGCTGAGAAAACTTTTAACCCTTTGACCTTACAAAATGCATATCGCTAGGGACGACATATATGTCCCTTGTCAACAGACCAAGGTATGAGTCCCCCATAAGAAGATGACAAAGAAATTTTTCCAAACACACATCAGAATAATTACAAACTTGTTTGAACATACTCCATAGCATATATTTTAGGTCCCCTCAGATTTAAATTAATAACCATAAAATAACTTAAAAGGGTTAAGGCAATACCTAGTGTAAACTAAGATAAAGGATTCATATTAACAAATTTGAGAGACCTTTTATATATATTTTAATCTGCACTTTATTATCTCTAAATTTAAATGATTTGTTTTCTATTCTAGAGTAAGGATATTAACAAACCTTAAAGAGAAACAGTCAGATGATTTAGATTATTTGTCGCAGTTAAAGGCAGATATGCATGAACAAGCAGGAGAACTAGGTGTCAAGTGTGATGAGTGTCAAGAAAAAAATGACGAAATTCTTAAAAGGTTAGAGGGAAATATACATTAGCATATGTAAAAAAAAATGTATAGTTTACTTCTCTTATCGGAATAAGATATTTTATTATAAATTAAAGAAATATACCCAAGTGTTGTTATCAACTGTTAAATAGTCCACAATTTTATACGTTGAAAATAAGTCCAGGGTTTTTTAATTTGTTGGTTTACTTATCTTTTATGTAAACATTCTGGTCTGTCATGTCTGTATGTCGAAAAAAATGTTTTTACAAGACATAAATATGTATAGAATTATTGTGTACTTCTGCTTTTTACAATATTTGTGTTTTCCTTTTTTGTAATCATTCTTTACAATTTAGTGCCAAACAATTTTTCTCGTGTGTTTTAAACATACAATGCATTTTATCAAATTTAAATATATTTCAGAGAGAATGAATTTGGCGGAGTAGGCGGAAATAAAAAAATAGGAAATTTCAATTTTGATTTTTTTCTGAAAAAATCTGGTTTGCGGATCTGTAAACCAACAAATAGAAATCATTTATATAAAAGAAATAATGCTAAGTTGTATGTCAAAATGTTTGTCTAGTCTATGTCAAAAGTCACAGAATCAATACTTAGACAGGCTGCTGTCAGTATTGTTGACTTCAACACTTATTCAATTTTGTGAAAGGGTAAAGTAGGTAAGAAATATATGTGTTAACAGTTATTTAACACCTGTGGTGATACCCACACCAGCCACTACTGACACTGTATCATACAAAAAGGGGGCCTCGGTGGCCAAGTGGTCTAAGTAGTCACTACTGTAATCACTAGCCAGTCAACACTGAGGTGGTGAGTTCGAACCCCGCTCGTGCAGGTGCACTCGACTCCAATCTTAATTGACTAGGATTGTCAGTTTTCCTATCGAAGGTCAGTGGTTTTCTCTGGGCACTCCGGCTTCCTCCACCAATAAAAACTGGCCGCCATGATATAGCCCAAAAGCGGTGCTTAAAAGTGGCGTTAAAACACCCAAAAAAAATCAAATCATACCTGTAATAAATTACATGACTTGTAATTCACATCAAATAAATATGTAAATAAAATATATTTATGATTTAATATTTTCTCAGAATCATATTTTTGTGTCACTTTTAGTTATTCAATTCTGTAACTTACTACTCTGTATTTGAAAATATATTTCTCCTTAAAAATCAGGTATCTGAAATCTTATTATATTGCAAACACATGTCTTTATTCCTGGCACAAATTTTACTCTAAGGATGAATAAAATAGTGTTCTTCTACAAATTCTGAATAATACATGCTCCTGTTTTAGATTATTTTTATCAGTGGTCAGTGGTTGGAAAAAAATGGTTACAGAAAAAAGTTTTATTCCCAGTCATCAGACTTTCTAATCTCTAAAAGCGGGGATACTAATAAGAAGTTTATTTTTTAAACATATTAATTACCGGTAATATTGATAAATTGTGCAATAAATCTCTTAAATTTTAAAATGAAATCATGGCTTGTCCTTTAATGGATTCTCTTGTGACAATATCCATCATGTCCATGGCTTTCACAGATGAAAATCTATAGTAGCATACATTACCCATACGATCACTGATAATACTAATCAGTCATGACTGTGTCAAAAAGATATCAGTCATGGCTGTCTGAAGTTCCTTGAGAAATAAATAGATATAAGATATGACATTGACTGTTATACTGCTGCATTTATTTGTTCAGATGAAAGTTAATAAAAAAAACCAGATATATAAGGAGAACTTTCTTTTAACAGAATAGAAAGCATAATGAGAAAGTTACAAGCTAGACTTCCAGTTCTGTCTGAGGCTGAGAGGAGTATGAAGAGAGAATTGGAAACCATGCATGATAAATTAGAGAGTTATAAAAATAATTTACAACAGGTATGGCTTACATAAAGTTAACAGTAGGTATTTTATGGCTTTCATATAAAGTTAACAGTAGGTATATGAGAAATAGGCTAATTATTGGTAAATTTGAAAGCATTAAGGGGAATTAAGCATGCTAAGTAATTATCTGTGAGCTAAATGCAATATTTTCTGATGATTTTATTTTTTTTTCATTTTAAGGAAATTTTAAATTTGCATTTACTTGGCAAAAACCTTTTGTGAGCATGCTCTTTGGATGAACTGGATTAAAATGGATTAATGTTTCATGTCCAAATTTAATCATTTTGAAAACATGAATGTAATATAAAAAGGAAATTTGTTTTGTGCTATGCAGAGCTGGATTTTTAAATTGCTTTCTCTTCTCAAAGGATAAAGGTCCAGAGGAGGATACCACACATGGACACATTTTTTTATTGGTACCTGATAAGTCTCTGTTGCTACTTGTAAATGTTGGTTATTTGGCAGGAAAATCTCATAATTGATACAGACTTGATGGTTTATGTCTTAGAATTTTGTTGACATTACTGGGAATATATTCCAGTTGCAAATTTTTTTTATACTTATTTCTGGTAGGATAAACAAATCAAATACCAGGAATTATTTATAATAATTTATTTAATAGAAGAAATATAAGCCATAAGGAAAGTTGAATTTCAACAGAAGTAATTTAGTGAATACACCTTATCGCTATTTAGTTCAATACGGGGGGAAAACAGTCGCTTAGACAACTTCCTGTTTTGGTCAAGTGTTGCAAAACAAAGGTCATCAGTAACAAGCTGAGGGAGGGAAAAGTGTAGAAAGGAAACATTTTCAAACTTTAACAGATTTTGATCAACTTTCTTAAAACACAAATTAAATCATAAAAATGCTTTGTTTGAAGTGTTTATAATAGTTAAAACGTGTCTCTTTGAAAAGTTTTATGCATACTACATTGTTTAAACAGGGCCCCAGATACCTTCAACTGGATGAAAAAGTTGTGTTATTTCAGAACTTCTCCAGATTGGAATGAATAGTAATAAGGTGTATGAAAGAAGACTCAATCACAATACATGTCTTTCATCTTATTGTTGCTTTCTTTTAGCTTGAAATAAAACAGAAATATCAAAAGAGACAGATTGATAACCAGAGGAATAATGCTGTGTCCAGTCCTGTGTTAAAAGATACTCAGCTCAAACAGATTAAAGACACCATGAGAAAAGAGTAGGTGTTAAAAAAACTCTTTAGTCATCCTAAATTATGCTGAAATTTTGATACATAAATGAGTCTTAACTGTACAAAGGATACCTTTTTTTTTTTTTGGTTAGGGATCATAGATTTATTCTTACGAGGAAGCTCCGAGCATGCTCGGAGGATGCTCGGGGCTTTTTAAGTGGGCTCTTCTCAGCAGTTAATGTGACAATAATTATAATGATCCATTAAGATGTCAATCAAATCTACACCACTTCTATGATAAGGAAAGTAGAGCATTATAGAGGAAGCTCCATTAACACCTGTGTAAACATCTGGTCTATTCAAATACATTTTGCATGAAATTTTACAAAACTATAAAATAGATTAGAAATTCTTCAACAGTGCTGTGTAATGCTTGGAAAGAAAACTCAAGTCTCCACAAAAAGTAAAAGTCTTTAAATATTTTCTTATTATATTTAATAATCATTCCTTTTTTTATAATAAAAGAATTCTCAAATTTTATAATTAGATGATATGATTTAAATATAGTTTATATTATATAATATGCTACATAAAAGTTATCAAGACACAAACAACAGTCAGGTGGCGATACTAAAAGTTATCTTTTTTAGTCACTTTTATAAGTATTTTTCGTTTTTAAAAATTATTTAATAACTCAATAGTTATTTTAAATGTCAAATAAAGCATGGACTAAATGTAGTTTTTAAGAATTTTTATATCATTTCATTAAATAAAATTAAGTATTTATCCAATTTGAGATGAGTATAGAGAGGTTACTTTAAAAAATAATGACAAAAATATTACTTTAATAAATTATTTTATACAACTTCAAAAAACTAAGTACTTACAATTATTTAAGGAATATATGTAATTGCTTTTGATTAAGATTCAAATTGTAAATAACTTCAAGTCTAAATTAAATATCTAGTTATAACTGTCTATCTCTAAGATTTTAAGGGGAAATTATATTTTAATAGCCCCAAGAGGCCAATCTTTGACCAAGAAGTGTGGCATCAGAAAAGCAATTAGTTCATGTTGAGTATTTAAATAGTTTTACTAGTATATTTCATGGGGAAAATAACCAGATATCTGTGAAAATTTGTTAAAGCTAGTAAAACCTGTATGAATGGTCACCTATAAAAATAATATTAACAGAAGTTAATTATTCATGATATAGAAGTAATATTTGAAACAGCCTCGTTTTCAACATAAGTTGTATAGGTAATTTTGAAAATTACTTGTTTAAATAATGCCCCTAACTAAACAAAGGTAATATGTTTTTTAAATAGCAAACTAAGTTCTTTTATAGAAAATTATAGCTACTTTAAGAAAAGTTGTAATTCATTTATAATGAAATTTTTGTTAGTTCAAAGGGCCAATGAGAGCTTTTGGCATTAATTTTTGGTCTGTTGTCTGTTAATTAACTTCATATTGTCCTATCAATAGAATCAACTTTTTTCCAGTTTGAACCAAACTTTGTGAAAAACTGTATAAGGTCCTTTTTAAAACAAACTATTCAAGGTGATTGAAGATAGTCCTGTAAATATTATATTTGATGTGAGATAATCAAGCTTTTAGAGGTAACCTATGGTCATAATCAGTATAGAAAATGAATTCAATAAAAAAATTGATGTCTTGGTCAAAGTTCAGTAATTTGAACAAGTTTAAGGTTAGGGTTAGGTTCTAAGTACTACACTAGTGTTAGAGTTAGGTAAGGGTTAGGGTTACTTAAGTATAACACTATTATAGGGAATTGGTCCACTAAAATAAATGAAGGCTATTTAGTTTCATGGAATTAGTCTTAGCTGTGCTCAAAAGCACTGATATTTAAATGTGTTTGAATGATGATGAGGCACTTCAAAAAAATTGCAATTAAATTAATTGTAAAAATAAAAAATATGTCCCGCTGTGAGGTGTAACACCACTAATTCAGGCCCGGCCAGAAAGCACATACCAGAAAGTAGTACATATTTAACACAAAATAGTTCATACGCATGGGTGTAACTTTCAAAATATGTAGAATATTTAGGGTATTTTTGGTATCAAATGAAAGCTGAATGACTGGTGATCATTGTAGAACACTTTTTGACTTATAATTTTGAATATTAAAAAAACTGCACCAAATTTTAAAAAGAGGGTACATTTTGCCTGTTTGTCAGATCTGAAGTACCTGTTTTGGTACATCCGAAGTTCCGGGAACCAGTTCTTTCTTATATGCCATTAAAGGTATGTCGATTTTTTTCATTACAAGACACCATAAAGTGTTGCTTTGACATGCAATGATTGTCACTTTATTTGAACTTAAAACAAAAGAGTTGTGTCTGCTTGAAATAGAGGAATTTAACATAGAAAGCAATGGAGCCATGAATTAGTGGTGTACTTCCTATTACAGAGAATCATCAGAAATTCAATTTTTAGAAGTTGTACCTATTCCAATGAAAATTAGTCATATTTAATGTTAGTAATCATTTTTAATCATCTTTTTGGGATGAACAATTCTGTTTATGGGAATTTCAGCTCTTAAATTGACATAATAAGGTATTTTAGCCTTTTATGGTCATACAACATGCATGCAGTTAAGGCTTGACTCCAAGTTCTCATTTTTGCATTACTTGGGATTGAAATCAATAAAACATGTATATTATGACTTGTTTATGATAAAAAAAATAGCACTTGGTCAAATAATCCTATGATTTTTTAAGTTTTATTGGTTTTCTTATGGTAGCCTTTTACAATCTAGGCAGTTGGTATATACTCATATAAGAATTCCAAAATCTCACTGTACATGCAATTTTGAACCAGTTTAGCAAGTTATCCAGCTGAGGGATATATAAATTGCTCTTAATAATCTATGTTGTACCACAGAAGTATGGTTTATACCAAAAATGTCCCTTTTCCAATTTGAAGAAAAAAGGGGGGACAATATTCATGATATTCTCAATTATGTCTTAGGTTTGGACTCATATATTTTTATTAAATGAACAACCTCTGGTAAAAATATGACTATTGGTAAGCACATTACTTTCCTTATAGAAATTAATAAATAGAACAATGATATTGAGAATAAAAAAAGTATATTGGCCATTGGTAATATCCATATGCAGTTTTCTTTGAATAACCCATATATTACTACCAGTCCAATTTGAGCTTAAAATTAGTGAAATAGTATTTGGACTAAGGCTTTAAATGTTTTTATTGCTTGAAATAGATCATAGAATGAAATAAAGTAATGCTGAAGTCAATATAACAAGTTTGGATCTGTTATAGGTGTAACACCACTAATTCAGGCCTGGCCAGAAAGCACATACCAGAAAGTAGTACATATTTAACACAAAATAGTTCCTACGCATGAGTGTAACTTTCAAAATATGTAGAATATTAAGGTATTTTTGGTATCAAATGAAAGCTGAATATGAAAATTGAATGACTGGTGATCATTGTAGAACACTTTTTATACGACCGCAAAAAAAATTTGTGGTCGTATATTGGTATGACGTTGGCGGCGTCGTCGTCGTCGTCCGAAGACACATTGGTTTTCCCACTCTAACTTTAGTTTAAGTGAATGGATCCTTATGAAATTTTACCATAAGGTTCAATACCACAAAAGGAAGGTTGGGATTGTTTTTGGGGTTATAGACCAACAGTTAAGGAATTAGGGGCCAAAAATAAGCATTTTTGTAACTTCCAGACATAACTTGTGTGTTAGTTTTTGGATCTCTCTGACATTGTACCACAGGGTTTCATATCACATAGGGAATGCTGGGATTGATTTTGGGGGTAATTGCCTCAAAATTTTGGGAATTTGGGGCCAAAAAAGGGGAAAAAAACAAGCATTTTTCTAGTTTCATGACAATTACTTGTGTGTAAGTGTATAGATCTTTCTGAAATTGTACTACAAGGTTCCATATCTCAAAGGAAAAGCTTGAATCGAGTTTGGGGGTAATTGCCCAAAATGTTTAGGAAAAAGGGGCCAAAAATAAGCATTTTTCTAGTTTCCAGACAATAACTTGTGTTCAAGTGTATGGATCTCTCTGAAATTGTACTGCAAGGTACCATACCACAAATGGAAGTCTGGGATTGATTTTGGGGGTAATTGCCTCAAAATTTTAGTAATTAGGTGCCAAAAAGGGGCAAAAATCAAGCATTTTTCTAGTTTCAGGACAATAACTTGTGTGTAAGTGTATAGGTCTTTATGAAATTGTACTACAAGGTTCCATATCACAAAGGGAAAGCTGGGTTTGAGTTTGGGGGTAATTGCCCAAAACGTTTAGGAATAAGGGGCCAAAAAGGGGCCAAAAATAAGCATTTTTCTAGTTTCCAGACAATAACGTGTGTTTAAGTGTATGGATCTTTATGAAATTGTACTACAAGGTTCCATATCACAAAGGGAAAGCTGGAATTGAGTTTGGGGGTAATTGCCCAAAACATTTAAGAATAAGGGGCCAAAAATAAGCATGTTTCTAGTTTCCAGACAATAACATGTGTTTAAGTGTATGGATCTTTATGAAATTGTACTACAAGGTTCCATATCACAAAGGGAATGCTGGGATTGATTATGGGGGTAATTGCCTCAAAATTGTAGGAATTAGGGGCCAAAAAACAAGCATTTTTCTAGTTTCATGACAATAACTTGTGTTCAAGTGTATGGATCTCTCTGAAATTGTACTATAAGGTGCCATACCACAAAGGGAAGGCTGGGATTGAGATTGGGGGTAATTGCCTTAAAAGTTTAGGAATTAGGGGCCAAAAAGGGGCAAAAAACAAGCATTTTTTCTAGTTTCAGGACAATAACTTGTGTGTAAGTGTATGGGTCTTTATGAAATTGTACTACAAGGTTCCATATCACAAAGGGAAAGCTGGGTTTGAGTTTGGGGGTAATTGCCCTAAACGTTTAGGAATTTGGGGCCAAAAAGGGGCAAAAAAACTAGCATTTTTCTAGTTTCCAGACAATAACTTGTGTTCAAGTGTATGGATCTCTCTGAAATTGTACTGCAAGGTACCATACCATAAAGGGAAGGCTTAGATTGAGTTTGGGGGTGATGAATCATAAGGGGGTTAAAAAAATTTGGGGGGAGGGATTTTTTTTCCCTTTTTTTTTCTTTAAAATTTTCCATTTTAAATTGGTTATTTCTGATTTATATGTAATAGCAAATAATAATGATATGGTTTGAATAGGTCAATTAAAAATTTATAAGTTCTTAGACCACATTCATTCTGTGTCAGAATGCTATGCTGTGTCAAATATTTAATCACAATCCAAATTCAGTGTGTATCAAGCTTGAATGTTGTGTCCATACTTGCCCCAACTGTTCAGGGTTCGACCTCAACGGTCGTATCAAGCTGCACCCAGCAAAGCATTTCATTGACTTATAATTTTGAATATTAAAAAACTGCACCAAATTTTAAAAAGAGGGTACATTTTGCCTGTTTGTCAGATCTGAAGTACCTGTTTTGGTACATCCGAAGTTCCGGGAACCAGTTCTTTCTTATATGCCATTAAAGGTATGTTGATTTTTTCATTACAAGACACCATAAAGTGTTGCTTTGACATGCAATGATTGTCACTTTATTTGAACTTAACACAAAAGAGTTGTGTCTGCTTGAAATTGAGGAATTTAACATAGAAAGCAATGGAGCCATGAATTAGTGGTGTACTTCCATGAGATTAAAGATGAGCTTTTTGAAGGATACCTTATACTTGATTTCGTAACACTATAAGAACTGAAACTATTTGTATTTTAAAATAATAAATAATTTATGTTCTTAGTCAATATATGTGCGTATTGCTATGTGTTTCTTTATTCTACATTGGCTAGAGGTATTGGGGGAGGGTTGAGATCTCACAAAACATGTTTAACCCTGCCACATTTTGTGCCTGTCCCAAGTCAGGAGCCTCTGGCCTTTGTTAGTCTTGTATGTTTTTAATTTTAGTTCATTTATATGTTTTGGAGTTTAGTGTGACGTCCACTTTCACTGAACTAGTACACAATATTATTTAGGGGCCAGCTGAGGACCAATTCTGGATGCAGGATTTTCTCGCTGCATTGAAGACCCATTGGTGGCCTTCGGCTGTTGTCTGCTCTTTGGTCGGGTTGTTGTCTCTTTGACATATTCCCCATTTCCATTCTCAATTTTATGCTTTTTTTGTGATGAAATTTTAGCAAATGCTAATTTGAGGTTTATTCAGTGTTTAGAAAAGGCTGTTTTTTAAACAAATTATTTTATTTATTTCAGGGGAGATGAGTTGAATGAATTAATGAGGAGGGTCAATCAGATGAAAATGGAGTCAGGAGTTTGACCTGTTGACTAGTGTTATAAAATGCTTTACTGTGATAATTCTTCTGATGTATGGAGAACTGCGACACTAGTGTGGAATAACTTATTTCATTGTGCTGTAATCGTCTCATTATGGAAGTTCTGTGACTGTCTTTGATATTGTTGTGATTTATGATTCTGTAATAGTGACCAAAGGTTCATACATTGATAATTAATTTTATATGAAAAATGACAATTAAAATATTTGTTGTAGTTTTGTAAAGGAAAGAGATATTTGTGCTCATTATTTGTTATTTTATTTTATACTTCCATTGTACAATTACTTATTACCCCTGTCTCAAAAGAGGAGCGATATACTGTCTCAAAAGAGGAGCGATATACTGGTCTGTTTGTCAGTGTGTCTGTTTATTCCATGACATTTCCATATCAATTTACCCAGGAATTAATAATCAGACCTTCTTTTAATTTGGTAGCAGACTTCATATTAGCATGGTAGAAAATGTGACGGGTTTTCACATCCATCACTGATCAACTTCCTGTTAATTGAATACTTTTTTATTCTTTCACAGAATGGCCTTGTATGAAATTGTTGTTATATTTATCTCAATAACTACATATCATATCCAGAAATTTGGTGTCAAGCTTCATGTGAGTATGCTGTTTCGTGTGATGCACTTTCACGTACATCCATCACTCATCAATAACCTAAATGGTCCAATATTTTTCTTGAACTAAGAATCAAACCTTCCATATTTTTTCTATATTGTCCACAAATGGAAGGATGTTGAACCTAGTGACAAAAAAAAATCCAGTAGTTTACCTTTTCAGGTCACTTGGCCATATGTGCCATTGAAGGTATAACCATTACTTGCTGTCCATCAGAGTCAACTTATTGAGAAAGATCTCCTCTGAAACCAACGAACCAATTTCAACCAAACTGAGATGTCTGCATGATCCTTAGGGTACCTTTAAATTTGTACATTTGTTTTCTCTTCCTGCCAATGAACCAACATGGCAGCCAGGAATAACATTCATTAAAATTTCTTGAAAATGTGGCCGGGCTAAAATCCTTAAAATGTCACAATCTTCCATTTTACCATTTCAACAAAAAACGTAAAGGATTTTTTGTCCTTAATGACTATATTTCATTGATTTTCTTGTTTTTGTCTGTCTCAAAAAGTTAATAATAAAGACAAAAAATGTAAAGTTCTGACAGTATCAAGCTTGAATATTGTGCACCTGGTCAAATCGCCACCCGGTATAGTCAAATCGGCACATAGTCAAATCGGCACCTGGTTAAATCGGCACCCATGCTGAATATGTTGAATATATATCAGTATTTTAAGCAAAACATTAAAATAAGGAAGGGGTTGTCCAGAAATATTGACTGATTAACATATTTTTTTTTTGGGGGGGGGGGGGTCTGTATGTCTTTTTTTCGTTCAACTGTGTATTCAAGGTAATTGATATTTGTTATGCATGTTTTAACCAGTTGAGCATTTAGCATGATTGTTGGTTTAATGTGACTGGGTTTTTTAGACAGCGGCTTTCCTGTTAGAAATTGCGCCCTATATGTTCCTAATTTTACTTAATAAAAAAGTAATTAATGTTTGTTTTGTTTTTTTTTACTTTGGTTGTGAGTTTTATGATTACATATTGTGTCGCTTATTTTTTTTTATTTTTATTATTATCAGATGTAACTCTCTTTTTTTTTTTCTTTTTTTTTTCTAATAGCACTCAGATTGTTGTTGATTTTAGAGATATATAAAACAAAAAGAAAAAGAAACAATTTAACAAAGAAAGTATAAAATGTAGTGAGTTATAAAGGATTTGAGTTCAGTTTAGTTGTGATTACATATGCCAGGGGCGGATCCAGGATTTTGGAAAGGGGGGGCGTAGTAAGTATAGTTTTCTTACCTTTTTTGGGCTAAAAACATAAAATAAGTGTAAAATGCACATTTTTAACGATTCCCGACATGGGCATGTATATTTTATAGTTAAAGTGTAAGCTAGGGTTGGACATTTTTGATGCCGCATTCTCCCCCTTAATTGTCTATTAGAAAATGATTGAATGGATCCAAAGCTATGTACTAATATATTTGATGTGGGATTTGTCAGTAAAAAATGGACATGGACAATTCTCGTTTGTTGTATGGTTAATAAGCATAACCTCACCGATTTCTTGTTGTAAACATGATATACGGCTATTCAATGAAGTTTATAATACGACCGACACGAACAAAGACAAACAAGCAATTTTTATCCAAATGTTTGGTTGAAATGTTTCACCCAACAAGGGAAGTGAGGGGTTCCAAATCAACCAAAGGCTACGAATGAGTCTGAAATTCAAATGACAACGAAGTTGTGAATGACGGTCAACAAATGGAGACATAAAGGCCACACCCAGCAGGCAGGTTGCAGTTGGACCTTGAAAAAAGTAATCAGTATATCAGTTCGGCGAAACAGACATTCCAGTCAGATATGGGATTTACATGCAAACCCCCCAAAAAAATTACGCACGTTTTTTATTCACAATGTTCATTTAATGCTGAATAATTTTGTTGGATTTTTTTTTCTTATTTCAAAAAAGGGGACACGATAATTGTTTTCAATACAGATACGGCCAGAATTTTTGTTTAAGGCAAAAACCAGGGTCAAAATTTTTTCTCTAAAATATCACAGACTGCCCTATCAAATCAAATGGTCCGTACCTTAGACTTTAAATTATCTAGAGCTTACTGACTGGGGATCATTATTCAGCAATGTTATTAATTGGCTGGGGCGTATGGGGTTACACATATTTTCGTAGGTGAATAATATTGCTTTGGAACTTTTTTTTCGTGAGAGTGTAATAGAGTATTACTTTCTGTTCAGTGGAATTGTGAAATAGAAGTCAACACGTTCTTGCTCAATCCTTTGTCGCTTTGAAGGCGTCATGCTTGTCATCTTCCGCCTAAGCAATATGTTACTGTAATTTGAATTTCAAAGTGCATGACTGAGTGTCGTTTTTTCGACGTACTGATCAACTCCACCGTAGCGAATCACATGACTTCAACATAATCAATAATATATTACAGTAAATACAAGCGAAAAATATCTTTATAAGTAAAGAATTGTCGCATAAAAATTAAATACACTATCGGGAAATGGCAAAATTCACTAAGTCTAGTCTGATTAATAATTTTACAAAAAAAAAAAAAGTTCAAGCAAAAGGGGGGGGGGGGGGGCGTACGCCCTCTACGCCCCCCCCCCCCCCCCCCCCCCCCCCCCCCCGTTGGATCCGCCACTGTATGCTAAGAAGGAAGTCTAAAGATAGAGTCAAAAATAGATTACAACCTATATGTAATAAAATTATTAGGTAAAAAACACATTTAAACATTGATCACTTCGATCACCTATATTAGGGTCGATGCTGATGGTTTTATGTCAACTTTCTCACCATTGTGCTTTTTTATTTAAATTTTATTTTGAGAGAAATAAACTACTGTACAATACTATTCAAATGTTTGTATAAAAGTTCATCTTTATAGTATTTTAACATAAGTATTTGTAATAAGTGTTCTTCTTTTGGCATATATCTACAAGTCCAAATACTATGTACATACCCATTAATATATGGAATCGAGTCTATATCTGTATCAAACAGTATACATGTATTTGTATTCATACTAAAATTTTGACATTTTTTCTCATTTTGTATAATACTACAAACTAAATTTCAGATGTAACTCTCTAACTAATTTATTTCTTAAATTGGTTTAATGCTGTTTAAATTTTCCTGAAATACTACTAGTACCTTAATTGCTTCTAATTTTCTCATGATTAAGCAACAGCTTGGTTAATGGCTTCAATTTTTTTTTTATTTAAGTTTTTGAAGAAAAAACATCGATAACTATCTGTATAGCATTAAAACAACAAACATGTTAATTATTTAATTGATAAATGTTATTAATTAATTAATTGAAAAGAAAACTAATTAAAACATCTGTCATAAAATATTGAGAAAACTCCAAACAATTAACTTATGTATTTTAACTGCTTAATAACATGTGATGATTTTTAACGATGTAATTAAATAAAATAAAATCCAACCCCAAATTTTTTTAAAATAATTAAAAATTGAAAGATCATTTTTACATATTTAGAATTATTTATATATATTATATAAAATATTATCGGATGCCGAATTGACTTAAATAGATGCCGATTTGACCAGATGCCGATTAAACCAGGTGCCGATTTGACTTTTTCTATAGGTACCGATTTGACCAGGTGCCGATTTGACTTGTACCCTCATCTGACCATTTCCTGATTTACATGGATCATTGGTAATTTTAATTTTATGTGATACTCGTTTTTCTCTAATACTGTTAACATACATTCAATCATTATCAGTTGAGTAGTCTAAACGTTTCACCGTTTGCACAAGGATTTTTATAGTTAGACAAATCCTTGGTTTGCACTCTTGTTTAATGAAAATGATGCATTTATGTCTTTTAGAGAAGGTCAAAACATATACATGAATAAAGTGGGCAAAAAAAAAAAAAAACAATATGGTAAAATAAATATTTAGTAATTCTGTAACAACTGTTACATATGATAAATTCAAAACTCTTGTCTTGGCAACTCCTTTAAACATTAATTTCCTCGTACTGGCAGCTGCTTTCAGGTACAGTTATTTCTTCCTCGCTATCGATAACATCAATATAATATGGAGCACCTGTCGGGTCTTCACTACAGTCATCGTAAGGATTATCTTGAATATCGTTGTACGGAAGGACTTGTGGTTCTATCTGCGGTGCTGCATGGTAGCTATGTAAATATAATCAAAGAAGTTTGTTAAATTTATAAATGGCTACAAAAAAAGTTATTTTCACAGTTGCTTCACATCCTCACTGAACAGACCCTCTATGGATGTGAATATATTTTTTTTACATCCTTGATAGCCCCCTTAATATCAAATTAAATTAGTTAATCATTAATCTGGTATTATACGTATCCAACTTGTTCCGGTTGTGTTGCTACTTTCACTCAGAGAGAGACGTTATTGAACGTAAGCATTTTTAGAACCTGTAACTTATGAAAAACAATAATTGGTGTAAGTTAAATAATGAAACAAAATAAATACAATCAAGAAGAAATAACAATGTTCCTGACTTGAGACATCCACATGAACATGTCCGGGGGTTCGATTATTATGGTTAAAGTACTTAACACTAAATATTCTAATATTGGTTGCCTTCCTCATATGAGACTTTTATAGGTTTCGTAACAAGTGAGAAT